TGCAATTTTCAATCATTCTATGGTGCTGTAAACAATTTTTAAAACACTTTTTACATGAAAAAAAAATTATTACGTTTATATACACAAAATAAATATATACAACTCATAAAACTCACATCATCGGTAAAACCAATATATTTTTCACTTCATTCAGAGCTAGGGATCTTGATTTGGTACATGATTGATATACACGTGAACACGTAGTTTGTTTCTTTAATAATAAAATGTGTTATACACAATACGCGTCTGTTTAATTACACGTGTTTTTAAAGCTCGTATACACGTATATAAAAAAATAAATCTACCGATGTATTACAATTACACATATATTTATAGTCCAGAAGTATTTGTAAAATTTATTTTTAATAATTTATTATATCATCGTGTAATTCTGACATAGATACACAATACAATTTGCATGTTTTTTAAAATTTTTTTTTATTGAGTAATTGTGTCTTTTGTTACCGTCCGAATTGACGTTTGTGCTCAAAAAAATAAGAAGACACTTAAATTTTTATATGATGATGAAGTTTGATGACTTTGGAGATGCTTCATTACATTATCATTGTTATCTGGTAGAACCACAACTGAAATAGATTGTTGATCCATTTGATTGTTGGAAATCGAACAGAAAAAAAATATCCTTTAATATCCGAGGTGGCAAGTAAATACTACCGGAAATGTAGTAACGCCCAAAAGAAACTGTTTGGTACCAAGAAATATCAACATGTTAATATTTTTGCATCAAAATCATCAATTATTTTTATAAAACATTCAATGCATACTCGTATCTCTCTTATAATTTATTCGTATTAATTCTGATTTTGTATAATTCTTTTGTAATATTTTTATCTTCATTACAGAGCTTTGCACCCGAATTAACCCGAACCCGTAACACCCCTAAAAACCCTTAAAAAATCAAACACCCAAAACCCATACAACCCGAATGATTTTTTTTTTTTTTAAACACCCGAATTAACCAAAACCCGAATAATTTTTTATTTTACAATCTTTATGTGACATATTATTTTATATGTATTTTTTGTGGTTATTTCAATTTTGTCATTAGTTGTTTAATAGTAAAATTATTATTCACAGAAATTATTTCACAAATAACATACAAAATTGTTAGTTAATCTAATTTTATCTAAATAAAGACAATAGCAATATATCATATTAACAGGTGTGCATGAATGGTATGGTATGTTGAATGTTCAAGTGTAAACAACTGGGATACTATTTTTAAAATTATCCCAAGCAGATACGTCGTATTATTATAATTTAATAGGTAATAGATCTTCTACGAATCACCGAGTCGTTATTTATTGCAATATTGTTAGTCTGAAATAGAATTGATGTCTTGCGTATGATTACCTAAATTGTTGTTCGCATTTGTTCACTGTATGGCGTGTAGTACACATATCTATGGCATGAATTGTCAATTTTGTTGGTGTAATATTTCATCGTAACATTCCTAAGTACAAATTATTTTTATTTTTGTATTACGCTATGTTTTAGCTAGTGCATTTTTAGTATATGCACGTACCACAAACCATAAGGAGAAATTTGGTGAAATTTGTAGGGGTCTAAGGATTATTTGATTATTACACCTATAGATACCATTGTGCGCAATTATTTATTTCGACAAGGCAATTCACGAAGTTTGACAATTTGACATTTTTAATCAACAATTTAAACAAAAAGCAATTAGGTGCCTTATTTTAAACATTTTTGGAGTAGGTATTCTAAATAGAAATTATTAATTAATTAAATTAAACAACCTATACGGGTATTATTACATATTAATATTACATTAATTGCGATCGTTCCAAGTCATGACAAGAAGTTTGTAAAATATTACGAATTTGATTTCATTCTTATCACAGAATATATTTTTTTTTAATTCCATTATTAAAAATGCATTTTACAATTATAATAATTATTGTATTTTTAGTCACTTAACAATTTTTAGAGCTAGGGTGGCTAAGACCTGTACTTTATATTTCTAGGGAGGCTCCACCGCCCTCCACCAATGAAAAATAATATTTTTCCTTGACTATTTAACACCCGTATTAACCAATATTATCCCGAATAATAATGGTTATTAACATCCAAACGTTTGTTTAAATGTTGTATTGCGGTTTTTGAATACCCGAATATATTCAACACCCGAAATCCGAAACCCGAAAAAATGATTCGGGTGCAAATCCTTGCTTCATTATGAACTGTTCATCATTTAATTTCAGTTATTAGGTATTTTTAAATTTAAAAAATCATTTTTCTTATTATTTAATTATTTATATTCAATAAAATATTAAATATGAACATATACATGATTCATATTTGTATAAATGTATTTACTGATTTGTTATAAAAATAATTGTTTTGATTTTGTCGTTTATTTTGGAATAGTTTTTTTATTTTACACGTAGACTGTTCTTAGATTATTTTATTTAAATGTTTATACAACGTTAAAATTAAATGCATTGAACATCGAGATATTAATTATTTTTAGTACAATTATCATTATTACTTTAAAATAAATGTTAAATATAATATATGCCAATATTTTTATACAAAAAAATATAATTAAAATAAATAAATAATACAATTTTAGTATTGTGCATTGATTTTCCAACGTTAGAATTAGATTTTCATTGATAGAGAAGGTCACGTGACACTGTGCTACCTGACTTTAAATACACGTTACACAGCAACATGGAGTTTTAACACACGGGCACTGGGTACATGAACTCTATATATATATATATATATATATATGTACACGTGTATCTTAATTACACGAAATTTAACACTGTTTCCATATAAACACGTACGTCCATGTTCTTAAATACACATGAAATAGAGCCCTTATACTGACCTAAAAGGTTACGATCTGGTATAGAATTCCACATCGTTGGGACTATTATCGTGCATGTTTTATATTTTCTAAAATCAATCATTTCAATTCGCTTTCAAATGATCAATTGCAGAATAGATACGAACAAACTTTATTTTCTCTGAATAATCGAACAAAATTCTCCTATAATAATATTAGTAAATAATAAAATATTATTAAATTAAGTAAAACTATTTCATAAATATACCTTAATATATTAGTATATCTATAAGTATACATCATGAATAAATCAGTAGAAAATATATTTATTCAGTTAAAGTATTGAATACGAAATTAAATCAATGTCATTGAAAAGTTTGAAGATGTTTTGTTATCTGTTTAAACGTGTTCAATTATTATTAATATGTATCTTAAGATCTGTTAAAATAATTTTAATACTGTCTTCCTTTATTCAAATTTCCGAGATCTTTCTGGCAAAACTCATTGAACCGAAAACTTATGTAATTTGAATTGTATTATTATAATTTCCCCTTGGAATCGCTTGTATGCACACAAATAACAACATTTAGCTACGTTATCTCAAACAAAAACTCAGCATCTAGAATTAATATTCATCCATGATACCAGATCTTCTATAGCATGATTAATAAAAATAAAAAACCATTCAAACAATATTATCAAGCATAATTTATAACTATTGTTTGGTTATTGTAATGCATACACCAGTATATTGAGTTTATATTTTTTTTTTCATACGTGCAAATATATCCAAACTAAATTTAGCACGCTAACATTTATCAAAGAATAGTAATTATAAAATTTTCATTGAAAATATAGGTGTAGTGTCTTTATCTGTATATCATAATTTTAAACTTCTTTCTCCGGTAAATAAACGAAAAGAAGTTCCAATACCTTTAATTTTGTTATAAGTTTCAAGTTGTAAAAGTTGCCCAGTGTATATACATTTACAATAAAATAAAAATTAGTACAGATAACAGGAAAAAGTGTAAAAGAAAAAGATAAATAATCCACACACAGAATTCTAGAAAAAACGTGAACGACAAATCATCTCTCGAATATTACATTTTAAAATTTGGGATTAATCGACACGATAGACGCAATTCATACTAGATTTGACATTTCGTCAGTTTTTCTTCACGAGTAAAATTCTGCATATCAGCGCCGAATACGACGATTTATCTAGGTCGGCGATATAGAATAACAATTTAATGTTAAGCTATTCATTATCAGTGTTAGGAAATATCTAGATAAAAATAATTTATCTTTTATCTTATCTTGATAAATTTCTACTCAGTTATCTTAATCTTCATCTAGATAAAATCTAGTTATTTATGAGTACAGATCTAGACAATTTAATTGAATGGGATAAAAAAAAAAATTTGAAAAATTAAAATATTTTTATATTTTTATTTTAACATTTTTCTGTACACCGTATATCTGTTACACAGAAAACAAACATTTAGTAAAATTTATTATTATGTCATGTATTGAATGTTCATTGTAAGTCTAGAGTTCTACATCGTAAATACTGACAAAACAATGATAGGTATTATTATTTTATTTTTCAAATGTAAGCTTTTTTTATTATTAAATTAGATAACGATTTGTCATCTTCTTATGAAGTTTATTATAAAAAAAATATCTTTTATATTTTATGTTTATTAATGTTTGAAATGAGTTTAAAAAATTACATTACGTGTTTTTAATTATGCTTTTTTTTTACATAATACCTGTAGGCTATAGTATCCTGAATATTCTCAAAATTCAACATGAAACTATCTCATCTTTACCTAGATAAAATTTAATTTAACTTTTATATCTTTACCTATATCTAGAAAAAAATTAGTATCTATATAAAATAGTATCTATTCCCAACACAGTTCCATTGTACGAGTTTACATACTCTTTTGGGATTAAACAATCTTTTTTGCGGTGACAAATACAATACGTACCTTAGTGTTACTGTATAATTATTATTGTTGTGCGGATACTAACATGAGAGTGTCTCAAATTGTTTCTATGTTTTAACAACCGCATCAATCTTTGAATTATGAACAAACCAACCGAACCCGATAATTGTACGAACATAATATTGACTGTTTTTTTTTTTTCTTAATAGGTACATAAGCGGTCGAACCGATAAGAATAAATTTTCATCGTGTCAGTACGATGAGAACAAGCAACATTTGTTTCCGAAGAGATGCTGCGGTGAACAATGCTGTCTGACCAAGGTTGTATGGAGAATCGTACCAAATAAGTACGGATGATCCTGTTGATAAACTGCAAACGTCATCGTTTTATATAATATTTTTAAGATATTAAGCAATATCGCAAGTGAATGTACATACGTGTGTGTGCGTATATGCGCGCGCGTGGGTGTGTGTGTGTGTGTGTGTGGCGAAAAGGGACTTGGATCAGCTGAGCTATTCTAAGGTCATAATATTTATGAGGTACACTTCTTCTTTAAAACATAAATAATTTACTTAATTTAGTGCATCTAATAATTTATGACTTTTTTATGATAAATTATAAATAAGCAATCACCGAATCAATCAACCATAAAAATTGGGATTTTCACGTGGGTATAGAACTGAAATATTTTATTGTAGATCAATTTATTAATGCATTTTTGTAAAAACTGCTACATAGGTACATGCGATAACTAAAAATTAAAATAGTGTTGTCACGATTTTATCTTCAGTCTAATTAAGGAGTGTACATTGTAGTTAGGCCTGAGGTTTATGAGAAATTATTATATTCGTTACAATAGAATATAAAATTATTGAAATCAATCGGAGTAAAAAATTGTTAATTTTAAAGAATTTCGAATTTCGAATTGGTTCGTATAATAAAGGGTTTATACGTTGGTACTGTACTAAAAACTGTTTATCAAAAGTCTATATAAATTAAAACTAGGTATATAATTAATTAAAACAATACAAATTCGCCACGATACAATCATGATAAATATTCAAGCCATGAATTGAAGAAGCAAGTGGTTTACCACAGCATGTAAAAAAAACGTTTTTGGTAATATTAATATAATACCAAAATAAATTATTCTTATATATGAGTAAATTGCATAAAATAGTAAAATAGTGAATTATTCTTATATATGAGTAAATTGCATAAAATAGTAATTTATCAGATATTACCATTTCCAATATAAATAAATGTAGAATATATAATGTAAATATATGTTAAACGACATAAAATTATGCTTAATATTCCTACTTATATAGCTGAAGCCCATGATGTACTTAATTTAATTTACGTGAAAACTAAACAAAATGAAAATGTTGTATTGGTTAAGAATAAAAAGGAAAATATAATATTTTCGTGTGAAAAAAATCATAGATTTTTATAGATTTTTATGAACAGTTGAAGGCATTTATATGGACGAAACTTTCGATTATTGTGCTCAATTTTTTTTTTTTTTTTACAATTTTTTCAATTTGTGGATATTTGAATAATCATTACGTTTCATTAATATATTACTAATTGCCAATTAAATACACAAAATTATATATTTATGTTTTCCATACAATACAAAGTTTATTGACTTGGGGTTAAATTTTTCTCCTCCCAAAGTAACTCTTGACATCGATAAAGCTTTACTTTAATGTAGTTTTTGAAATGTGGTCGCATATCATTATTACAGGGTGTCGGTTTCATTTAACTCAATCTTAGTATCGCAAAATAAAATAAATAGGCATATCAAGATGTATTCAAAAATATATTGATTACTTTTTAGAAACATATATTATTGAAGATTGTATTTAACCTCCAAAACTTTGGGCACTTATATCTTCAGAAATTACATGCACAACCAACGCTTGTGAGTCCTTTCATTCACATTTTAAAAATATTTTCAATCGAAATTCGCCATTAAACGATGAAGTGCAAACGGATGTCTGAATTAAGAAGCGTTGGTGAACCAAAAACACTCCGGTATAAAATTTTAAAACGATTAAAAAGAAACTATTGTTTAATTAATCAAAATAAAAGGGAAGAAATATGCCGATATACATATATCAAATCTAAAATGTATATTAATATACTGGCGGTAAACGGTTAGAGGTCAGTTTTGGTGGAAAAGTGAATCTCCCCTTCAGCGTGCCCGTGTGCATGTGCATTTCGCCTACACATATTTTAATGTTAATCGTTTCACATGCACCGCCGATTTTTGATAAATTATCATAATACATTGTGTAGAAAGAGTGACGAGAAAAAAAAACATTGCCATTTGATTGCTCGTCAAAGAATAAAATATTTAAAAAAATGATTGTGGTATTGGATTACGAACACAAAATAATATCAGGAACAATAGGCGAGGGCCTGTAAATTTTTGGCTGACATGTTCGCGCTACCTTGGCAGTGTTCACAAATAATTTATGTATATATTTTTACAATTGTGTGTGTGGCGACGCACTTTATATTGAAATTCGAATCGCAAATAGAAGTGTTAAAACTACTTCACGTAGCACCTGCCCACCTTCATTGATGGTACAATATATACGAGTAATACAGTTATCGTACAACGCCGTAACTGGCATGTAGCATGGTTCAGTGCTTCATTAAATGTCTCGTCTATACCTGCCGTCCGTTCGACAGCCGACTACTAATAAAATAAACCATTTAGGACATTTATTAGCTATGACAGCGTTACGTGGGCATGCTATGTACTGCTGAAACAGCTACAACAATTTAGTTCCAACCGTACGTGCACTGCGTTTGGACTTAATATCACAAAAACGATAACATAAAATACATTTTCAAAATCAAAAACGATGTGGAAGAAAGTATTTTTCCTTCCAAAAGATTTTAAATTCGTTTACTGAACTATGAAAACAAAAAAAATCTCAAATCGCAATACACTATCTTAAATTTTATTTTATTCCTGTTCTTACATAATAAACGTCGAACAGTTTTATTTTATATTATTTATAATCACAAAAATAAATATATGTTTTGAAAACAAACGGAATAAAAGAGGGCCTACATATGCATTATAGTCTCTTTTGATAAATAAATGACAATAATAATATGCTACTATAAATCCATTATTTTTTTCCCGGCTTGCATAATATTTTCGATTTAAATCTGTTCTCAAATAATAACTTTTACCTTTTTAAAGATATTTCAAAAATCGACACGTTTTTATTGGTTCCCGTGTCACGTTTTAACATCATCCCAAACAACGCATTTCAAAGATACAAATATATATTTATTTTTTAATTATTTGTTCTAAATATATTATTTTCAACTTTATTTAAATGACGATTTTTGTTCACAGGACATTTCACACAAAGCTATTAAAATGTGAGTTTCCGACTTCGACAAATTGAACTTTCTCTCATATAACAATTAAAGAAATCATAAGGACTAGTGCAATGAAGTGAATGTCTTCTATCATGTAGCATTGAATCTGAATGCGATTGAATACGATTTTAGGTAATGTAAAAATATTACGTCTACAAACTATAATTGTGATTATTTTTTTTATTTTTTATTAATATTTATACTGTATTTGACGTTCAACGTTATTTATCTTTGTATAGACGAGGTACGACGATATTGGTTTTTATGCGCAATATATTTTCCAAGTTTTTGATACAAAGCGCGTAGGTATTTAGAGTTATAAAATATTTTACAGTCAATGGCGGTTCATTTCCCAGACAATACTGCGAATATTCACCTCAATAATAAAAATAATAAAAAAAAAATTTTATTCATTAAACACGGTTCGAGCTTCACTAATTAAATTCGTTGTGTCAATGGTATAGATGCTGTGCAATAACCACTGCGTGAAGTATATAGACCGTATCTCAAAATATTTCTTCGCCGCACTAATTATTACAGTTGAAAATTTCGCAAAGAGTATATAATTATTTGTTCCAAGTATATATACATGTATATATTTATAAAATTAATAAGCAAATTATTCATAAATTATAAAAGAAAATGACAGAAAACTTTACCACCGCTTCGGTTTTCCGTCGAGCGAGTAAAAAGTTTGTCTCTCGCCACAGACGTTTATATACGTATATATATATATATATATTTCTTCCGCCATTATTCAACAACTACAACGTTGCCTGGTTGATGCTGATGCGTGTTCTGAAGGGAAGCGTTTGGCACGAAAAATCATATTTTCCACGATCGTTTCGGGGGCCGAGATCGAGATAACCATTATTTCGTTACGATACGAATCGTGCATTATCGTATACTGCACTTCTGTTCGACAACAAAGCGGTGATCGCACTGCTTTTGTCTGCCAAACGATCGTGTTGTAGACGTTCTCTACTGAGAAAGACGGTCGTGCACCTCTGTGGAACGGAGTGTGCAATTATACTCTGTACACGATGTGCACGATCAGCGCTGATAAACTGCCTATGACAGTGGTGCTTCTCGTAGTTTTTACTTTCCTTCCTCTGTTAAAAGCGATCCGCTGAAAAACTAATCCACGATCCACCAAGGTCCGAGATGCGAAATCGTTTCGACCTGTAAAACCGTCGGAGCAACTGGTCATTTTTATAACTTTTATTCATTTTTACCAAACTTTTATTTCACTGCGCTAAAATAAAACCGTCCCACAGTGGGCCAAATCACTATTTTAGGTGGACAAAACTCATTAAATTTCGTAAAGCAAAAACTGATAAATGTTTGAAAATAGTATATCTAAATAGTATACATGATAAGAATATCAGCGTTCAATAGCAATAATTACAGGAAATTGGTCTGATATAGGTCATTAACCACTAGACAGCCGTTACGTCTCGTCTATGCTTGCGCTTTTTCTTTAAAATAGTAAATATAAAATAACTATACTGTACTATTTGAAACACCAATTTTTTTCTCAAAATGAATACTGTAAATGTACAAGGTAAGCAAAATTAATATACATTTCTTATATTTATAGTTCTGTATACCATGATTTAACATAAAATAAAAATAAATTATGTATATATAGTTGTAAAATTAATATATTATGGTCTCCCAAAATAAAAGGGGAGGATTAGGGGAGGCTAATTTGTTTATAGACTTTTACCTTTATGTACCTTAAAGAATATTAATTCATTTACAACTGCCAAAAACCGCCAATATTATAGCAAAACGTTTTTTTTCTATCAGAAATTACATTAAAAAATAACGATTAGTAGTATAAATGAAAAATGTGATGGCAATTTATTTTTATTTTGTTTAGTCCCTTTAGAGCTTGTAGAATCTAAAAATAATAGTGATTTTACATACGTTTTATGGAAAAATCAAAAATCGTCATCTACCCGATACTGTCGACCAATTAAGTTTTTATTTGAAAAAGAAACCGCTTTTAATACTAAAAGCGAAGTTAGCAAAATAAAAAAAAAAAAATAAAAGAATTAAAATCTTTTGAAGGACCAAATTCCGTTCAAATACATTTTTTTTTTTTTCTATCTAACTATGGTTGATGGTAAAATAATTAACACTATGTAATTCATCAAGTCAAACCTGTTATATTTATAAATGTTTTCCTAAAGATATGAACAACTTAGAGATAATATATAGCTTAAAATGCAATGATGATAATTTACAATATGGACTATCCCCATTACATGGGTGGATAAAATGTTTAGAATGCATGCTTCATATAGCATATAAGAAAGGAATATTAGAGTCAAACAAAAGGGCCAGTGTTGAACAAAAAAATGAAATGACTATTCAAAAAAAGAAAATACAAAATGGTCTATGGGAAAAATTGGGAATAAAAGTAGATAAAGTTGTGCAAGGCAAAGGTATATCTAATACTGGTAATATAGGGAGGCGTTTTTTTGAACATGCACAAGAAGTTTCAGTGATAACTGGGTTAAATAAAATACTCATTGAAAGTTTTAAAGTTATTTTAAGTATTTTGGGGTGTAGTTATAATGAACTCTGAAAAATACGATAATTATGCGAAAGATACTTTAAAGTTATATTTGCAATTGTATCCCTGGTATAGAATGCTCCCGAGCGTCCATAAGATTTTAGTACACGGTTCGAGAGCCATACATCTTGCTCCATTTCCTATGGGGATTTTGTCCGGAGAAGCGCAAGAAGCACGAAACAAGGACTACATAAGATTTAGGCGACAAAACACTCGTAAAACCTCAAGAATAGACATTAATACAGATATCTTACATATGTTTTTAATTTCCTCTGATCCTCTCATTACTTCTAAAAGTACACAAAATGTAAAGAAGAAAAATAATAAATTATGTTCTGAAGCAATGAATTTATTAAGTAATAATATAGAAACTCATACTACTAAAGATATAGAATTAGATTCGAATGATAGTACTGAAGACTCGGATTCAAGTGACTGTTCTACAGACATTGATAGTGATGAAAGTTAAATTTTTTTTATAAATTAGAAACTTAGTAATATTATGTAAATATCTTCTTTTTTTAAAATGAAATACAAAGAATTAAATTAAATAAATAAAATTATTTAATAAATAAATTAAATTTAGTCTATATAATTTATTATATTAATATTATTTATTTATTACTTATTTCATCATGAAAAATAAAAATAATAAGGGTTAGATTCAATTTGTTGTATAGTTTTAAGTACTCATATATTGCATATATATTTGTTATTTAAATATTAAATGATATGTAATATGAATTTAAGTATTTTACTTAATATATACCGAGTCTCGGATAAACATAATTTAAGAAGGTATGGAAAATTATTTGGTCAATTTGAATCAAATAAATATATACATTTATTTTTATTTATTTTTCCCTCAATGAACAACATGTTTAAAGTAAGTGAAAAGTTAAAAAAAATTTTGTCCACCTAAAAAAGTGATTTGGCCCACTGTGCGTCCCCTAGACGTGTACGTTCCGCGAGAAGCACTGCCCCTTTCCTTCACCCCAACGGCTTCTAATTACTCGGTGGACGTGATCGAACGTCACCGTACGTAACCAACTTTATGCGCGTGGTTTGCAGCCCGCAGATGGAGCAAAGCGTCGTCAACGGATCCGTGGTCGCGGACGACGGGACGGCCGGCTCCGCGGTACCGTTCAACTGGACCACCGCGGTGACGGCGACCGAGCTGACGCCGGTGCTGTCGCCGTTCGAGCCGTGGCAGAAGTTCATCATCGTGCTGGTCATTGGTGTGTGCATGGTGCTTACCATCACTGGCAACATACTGGTACTGGTGTCGTTCATTGTGGACCGGACCATCCGGCAGCCGAGCAACTACTTCATCGCCTCACTGGCCGCCACGGACATGCTTATTGGTGAGCTGCTGTGTACTCCAACCCACCCCCGTGTCACTCACCCCTCCCCCGGCACAGACCGACAAATACATCGGCAGCGTGTCCACCTCTGACAGTCGGCAGATCTTAAATTCTATACGTTTATATGTATATATATTTCAACTTTGAGTTATAACAATTACACAGGCACTGATTCCATTGCTAAAAGTTATCCCGAAACATGATTCATTATGATTTAAGTATTTTTTCGATATTTATCTAACAGTTATTTTGGGTTTTTTTTTTTAACACGGTATGTAACTGAACTTCGAAAGAAAAACCCTCTCCGGGGACGCCACTATGCTTGAAATTCATCTGATCCGTGATTTTTGTCATAAAGAATAATAAACAACATTTTAACTGATTCAAAATGGCGACTTTTGTTGATGTGCCATTTTACGCAAACATAACAATATATGCAATACACGTTCCATGTATTCAATTCATTGACTTACACCACTATAATATTACCGTTGTTATCTCCCTATATTCTCGCCCCGTTTAAGTATCTATCACGTGGAAGCAATTGTCCGGTCTGTGATCGACCAGTTGAGTGTCCTAATTTAGTTATATCGTATCAGCAGTTTTGATTTGTAATAATTTTCGAACAAACCAATTGAAAATAGGTAACAGATACATTAATACACCATTCCCCACAGGATATTTCACGAATTAATGTTTTCGAAAATTATTTTCCCCATCGACCACTAAATATTGTACTACTTACGATCAAGTAATTCCTTAAAGAAGGATACCAAGAGTCAAGAGTCAATTGATATTAATCGGATACCATATATCACCTTGGAATATTTTTCAAGGATTTATTCGAGTTGTCAGAAATTTGGAATTATTATTACTTGACTGTTTATCGTGCATAAAGTTTGAAACCCTGACATTTGTAATGAGCTTCACATAGTTTTATCGCCGAAAGATAACGCACAATGGTTAAAGACAAATTTAATAAAATGGCGTACTAAATACTCGTTATATCATAATTTATATCTGATATATATATTTATTTATTTAAGTTTAGTGTTATCTGTTTTATCATCGTGTGTAATCGTAATATGTGATCGCATCGAAGTTAAAACTTAGAGTTTCCAAACTTTTCTAGGCAAACAACTTGTAGTATAAAAACTTTAAGAGTTCGTGCGTTCGAAAAACTAAGTGTACGGGGCGATATTCTCAAACACGTGCAGTGGAAATCATTACGACAGTAAGAAATCGAATTGTAGTATATTACATTGCCTTTCTTTGTCATGATAATTATTTCGAGATTGAAATGGTTAATAATTCAATTTTCAATTAACTAAACGCTTTTACCAAAATTTCAATTCATAAAAATCAAATATCGAACCGCACCATAGTTATTTAAAGTGTTTAATGTTTGAGTTGAGTCCAGAACACCAACGTTTTAAGGTGTACCTCTAACACTGCTGGCGCTATGCTGGTATAAACTTTAAATACTTGTAAACTATTAACTGTACTGGTTAGTTACTTGATTTGAATTCATGTCGAAATATTCAATAAGAAATTTTCCGTTTCGAATTGTGAAAACAAAAATTCGCCATCATGATTTCGATTGGAAAAAATACTTAAAGACTACTAGCAATAATTAATGGTTTTTCTTCTTCTTAAATGTCTTCATAAATCAATGAAATAAGGTGCTTCGACTTTAATAGTTACGCTACCACTATTCGGCTCTATAACATACTCTGGCGAAAAAATTAATCTTGCATGTGAGCACAGTCCGAACTTATAAATTAGTACTATTTATGACATGCCGAATCATGCCCACAAATTATTCCTGCGACACACCACAGGTCCTATACGGCCCTGTCCACCAGAATCTAATATGTGAAAGAAAATTATGACAGCACATGATAAAACATCATATAATCGGTTTACGAAAAGTACACATCTCGGTACACGAAATTATATTAAATTTTTTTTATATTATACAGCTCCGGTTGTTTTATTCTTTTCATACGGATTTCGATTATTTGAATACTAAACGAGAGACCTTGAACATTTCGCGGGATAGATTCCGTTAAACTTCCCATTCTCCCCACTACTTATCCTGATCGTTCACCTTGACCCGGGCCACACAAAAAATATAATACGAACTTTTACCGCTAACATAAAACACGATTTTTATCGCTAAAATGTACAGTTCGAGCAACCTTAGTGAAGTTTAGTATCGTTGGTAAATGTTAATGTAAACCTAAAAAAACAACTGAAATTACAATAATAAAAAAATCAAAAAAATATTTATTTCATTTTATTCGTCCATTGCCATTAGAAATAAATTTGGCATGCAAATATTTTTTTTAATTAAAATCAACCATTATTTAATTATAATATTCAATACATCGAGGAATATATGTGGATTATTTTTAGTGTATTTCATTCAATAACTCGTTTGTTTTCATAAAAGTTATTTAAAAAGTTAAGCATTTCGTCCAAACAAAATGATTTTGTTTCAATTTTGAATATTTCCATTCTACTAAACAATATTTAATATCAATAATCTAAAAATTTTCAACATTATCGATTTGTTTTAGATATAACTCATGTTTTTAAAATTGTACAACAAATTATTTTTCATTCAAATAAATAAATCGAACACATCAATACTATAGAGTTAGTAAAACGATTTTTATCAAAAATTTTTACGGACAATAATAATAATAATAATAATGGTAGAAATCTTATTTACATTCTCATTATTTTTCGGAGTTTACTTGTAAAACTACTGATAACATAACTGATTCTACCTTTTAAAGCATAATTTCTATTTAGAATACTTTAAAAAACCTTTTCAACTTTATGAGCATCCCCAATATGTACCAATTTGTATCAAGATACAAAAATAAAACGTTTAGAATATTCATGAAGATAAAACTTTTAGTAAAATACAAAGAAACCAATTTTATAAATTGTCATCCACTGTTAAATTATTATATAGTAGATACCGATCGAAAGATAGAGATTTCAGTTGAACTATGATCAGCTATGGTGCTTATTTTAAATGACGATTTTATCTTCAAATTCTTAAAAAATTGTGTATAACTGTTTCTTACTGTCTTTGTAACTGATTACTGAACGAATATCGTACGAGTAAGGTAACACCAGAAAATAAACCAGTCGTTCTGGTACCTGTACAAGGTGTCATAAAGGTTAATAATATAATATAAAAGTATGGCCATTGCGATTTTTCTAAAATACTGAATGTAATAATTTTTTTTTTTTATAAGCGATATTTTTACCAATTTTTCGTTTTAATATAATCTCATAATATAGGAGATATATGAAAAATATGATATGAATTTCAAATGTACATCTCTTAAAGCAATAGTTAAATAAATAATTTTAACTAACCAATTACGAAAGCCATATCATTATATCAAACCGTCCACGTTTCCCATTTTTTCAAAACTTAAACATAAACTACGAAACCAATTATTAGATTCTGATTTGTAACGGCTTAAAATATACAAAACAAATCGTTTTACGAATGGCAGAATTTATATTACATTGACCCTACCAAAAAAAAAAAAAAAAAAAAAAAATTACACTATAACCAGTAGATAGAAAAATATTGATATTTTCGTCGGTAGAACATTGCGTTCGTGGCTGCCGTGTACGCACTTACACATGTGGCTATGCACATGGATGATTCGAGAGATGGAACCAGACTTTTCCGTCTCCATTTCAGATGGCCCTAATAGTTCGTCAAATGACTCCGACCGGAAAATAAAATGGGCTTTTTTCACTTACACGCGTTTTGTGTGTTGAACAGGTACGGTGTCGATGCCGTTCTACTGCGTGTACATACTGCAGGGGTACTGGGACCTGGGACCGCTACTGTGCGACCTGTGGCTGTCAGTGGACTACACGGTGTGCCTGGTGTCACAGTACACGGTGCTGCTGATCACGGTGGACCGGTTTTGTTCGGTTAAAATAGCAGCCAAGTACCGGGGCTGGCGGACCAAGGATAAGGTCATGTGGATGGTGGTGCTCACGTGGATCATACCCGCGCTGCTTTTCTTCACCAGCATCTTCGGCTGGGAGCACTTCGTCGGCTACCGCGACCTGTTGCCGGGCCAGTGTGCCGTGCAGTTCCTCAAGGACCCAGTATTCAACACGGCGCTGATCATCGGTTACTTCTGGACCACTCTCATCGTGCTGTTTGTGCTGTACGGCGGCATTTACAAGGTGGCATACGAGATGCAGAAAAAGAGCGAGGCCAAGCAGCGGAAGATGCAGTCGATGGTGGCGCTGAGTGCGGGCACGGTGTCCGGCATGGCGGGCCACGCGGCCGGCATCGGTATGTCCAAGACGCAAAGCACATTGCTGGTCCAAGATAAACCGCAGCACCGGCACCAACAACAACAGCAACAACAGCAGCAACAGGATCAGCAGGATCAACAGGATCAGCAGCAGCAGTATCAGCAGCAGCAACAGCAGCAGCAGCAGCAGCAACAGCAACAGCAACAGCAACAGCAACAACGACAACAGCGGCAGCAGCAAGAATACCAAATGCAGCAGCAAGCCGACGGAGCGGCAAACGGATCGGATGACGAACGCGCCGCGGTGGGCCAGACAGTGGTGGTGGTGGACAAGGAGCGGTCCAGCAGCCCGGCTTTTGAATCAGATGAAGAAAGCACCACGGGTGAGAAGCAGCCGCAGCCGATCAACTGGCCGCGCAAGAAGTCTGTGGCCGAGCTGATCGTACAGTCGGCGCTAGTGCAGCGGTCCAACAGCGGCATACACCTGTCGCCGTCCGACAACCTGTTGCCATACACGGCTAGCAACGGGTGCGCCCCGTCCGCGACCATCGTGCGGTCGTTCTCCAACGCGGCCGTCGTCAACTACCAGACCGACATGCAGCCGTCACCGCCCTGCGACAGCCGGTTGGACGCGCTCGTCGGCATGGACACCAGTGAGCTGCACTTCATGGACGAGAGCTCCGTGGTGATCGGATCGCCCACGTTCGAGAGCCCCACTAACAGCACCAGCTCGATGAACGAAACCATGTCCTCGGCACAGTGCTCACCCGCCCATGGGGCCGCGGCCGCCTCGTCGCTGCTGCAGGCCGCGCTCATCCGCGCGGCCGCCGCGCAGCACATGAATGCCTTGCCCACCGTGACCAAGGTCGACACAACCGTCGTCGTGGACGGGCATCGGTCCGCGACCACCACGGTGGTGACCGCATCATCATCGGCCACCCGCTGCGGCGGCGTCTACGGCGGTGCAAACGATTCCGGAGGCGCGGACAAATCCTCGTCGGACACAACCAGGAGCTGCGGCGGCGGTGGCGACGGTGGCGGCGATGGTGGAGATGGCGACGGTAGTGGCGATAAGCGGGACGGCAGTTCGCGCAGCGACTTTGTGCGCACCATTGGTAAACGGCTGAAGGTGAAACGGCCCAAAGTGTCCGGTCGACAGAAGTCCAAGTCGGAAAACAGGGCACGCAAAGCATTCCGCACCATATCGTTCATACTGGGCGCGTTCGTGGCCTGCTGGACCCCATACCACATACTGGCGCTGATCGAGGGCTTTTGCTCGAACCCGCCGTGCACAAACGAGCGGTTGTTCTTGTTCTCGTACTTCCTGTGCTACGCGAACAGCCCGATCAACCCGTTCTGCTACGCGTTGGCCAACCACCAGTTCAAGAAGACGCTGACGCGACTCATGAAGGGCGACTTCCACATATCGTAGTGCCACGCGCGGTAGTGTTCCATACAACAAACTACAAAACAGTTGATAGTGTGCTGTCTCGTACCAGGATCGGACGGTTTTCGGGTCGGGGCCGTGTTGGCGAGCCCGCCGCTCCGGGAGTCGGAACTTCGATGCCGAAGAATGCGATCTTCTGCGCTCTTCCCCATCGTCCTTCGTCGTTCCGCCGTAAAGCAATCTTTGAAGGCAATCCGTTATTTAGCTGTCGGCTGGGCAACGATACCGCTCGGCCGAAGACCCGCACGCGTTTTCCCCCTTAAACGGTCGCCAGGAGAACCGATTTTTCTGCCCCCTAAACGCGACCAGCCGTAGCACGACCCCGTCGTCGAAACGACACGAGACCGAAGATTCAACACAATCCCAACCCAACCCGAGGCGCAACCGCCAGCCACTTCTGTACGGTTATCGACTGTAGGCAACGTGTCCCTATACCGCAATCGTCGAGTGCTTATGGTTCTGTAGCGATACAAGTGGAACTTTTCACCGAGATCGGAACAATCTTTTCGACCGGTGGCACTTTTACGGTGAAACCGATCACCCTTTCCCCGTACAATTCCATTCCCCTAACCAGTGTTTTTGGTTACAAACGTATTTTTCCATGAATATTCACGTTTCATAAAATCGTGACAGAAGAAAACATTTTATCAGTATCGGTTGAACTATATCAAAAAACATACAAATATATTTACCTAAGTAGTCGATAACCTCTCCTTCCCGCTAGAAAATATTCAAATGGGTATATAATCTTTGGGAACGGATAGTGGTGGTCGTCCTGATCGATTCGCCTCCAAAAAGGACCATACATTTTCCTCAGAAACTACTAACTACAAAACACGTGTATTCAATACTTTACTCGTAATGTGCATTCGAATAAATCTGATATTAATCACAACGATACTCACACACAATCCGCAAAAAAAATACTTGATCTTAAACAATAATCAATAATATTATTTAATCATGAACAATTAATCATTGGGTAAATAAAGTTATTTTTTTTTATATTCACTACTCAATGATCAATTATTATATTATCTTTTATGATATGATAAAACAATGACCTCGTGACAGCACACACACGCATCAACCTTCTTTCAATATTTTTCATAATATTGCAATATATATATTTGCTTATTACATATTAATCTATTGATAATAAAAAATAAAAATAATAATAAATAGCACAAATTAAGACCATAGTGTAGATTTTTATAGATATTTTTAATAACGAAATAAAATTGTAATCTTGTTTATTTATTTTTTTGTATAATAATATGTATATATATATATGAACAGGGTAACATCAATTCTGTATTTTAAAATGTATAATTATTATTCTTAAATATATTGATTAATATAATATATATATATTATATTTAAAAATATTGTGATATTTATAATACTTAGAATCATTGTGACAATATTTATAAAATGTAGTATAATATTTCGTTTGATTATTGTAAAGCTTTTAAAAAACGAATCCGATTCATGGATTAAATGAGCCCTAATCCGTAAATGGAATTCGTTTTTGCGTTAGATTTTAGATGATCGTCAGCTGGTTTTTTTTTATGTTTAGTTAACATATAGTAATTTAATTAACTAGTATTTTGTATAGTTAGTAATAATAATAATAATAATAATAATAATAATAATAAAAATAATAATAATTTATAGTTGTGTGTTATGTCGAACAAATTAGTTAAATGTATTTATTAAAATAAACAATAGAAATTTTTAATTTATAAAAAAAAAAACTTTATATTATTATGTTCATGTTATTTAAATGATACCTACAGACAAAACTTCAAAGGTGACTTAACTTCTATATATCAGTCATACTCGCAAACAATTTAAAAACATGGTAACCATCGAATAACTATGTTTATATGAAAAAAAATGGAAGAAAAAAATACAACAATCTTTAACGTTTAATAAATTAAACTTTCAGTTGTATTTTTTTGTACGAAAATAATTATTTAAAAAAGACGACTACTTCCCGTGTCATACAGACGTGAATTCACGATGAATATTCATGGTAAAAATAGTTGGGTGATCAAGTTTCTCGACGCTAAATAAATTCACCTCAACGACTTATAACTTAAAACTTTACAGGCGTAAAGATATTACTTAATAAATGAAGTTTTAAACTGAGTATTTTATTTATTTTTTAATAAAACTTTCACCGTAAAGGATAATTCTATGAAATCTATAGCCAACACGTTTAATAATAATTCACGTAATTAAAATGATTTCATTAACTTAGATACATAATTCCAAATCCTTGTATAGAATAACTAAGCACCTTTACAAAAAAACATATTAATTATCCTTACATTTATTTTTATTTTACAAAAATTACCATTTGGACATTGAAATTGTAACAGTTATTGTAATTATTGTTTTCAAAGAAATCATCTTTAATTTTCGAAGTAATGTATGCATCTCGTGGCTTGGACGAAGGGACGATTCCGTAGTAAAAATATAATATCTGACATTTTCATGAAACATTAATAACTAATCGTATATACATATAATATATATACATATAATAAAATATTATTATTGTTAGTATGCCCGTCGCAGCCATCTAGTATTACCGATAGTATTAATATATTTCACAGTAAATAACCCCCTCTAATAGAATAGACTGTAAATAATGTACATATATGTATATAAAATATGGTTCACATAATATACGAATTGGTGTGCTGCGATCATTTTTTTTTTTTGGAGATGAAGTGTGCCGTATGATTAAAAAGGTTGAAAACCACTGCTTTAAGTCAACTAGCATTTTTCTGATTCAAAACATTTGAAAAAACGAGATCGACAACGAGGTAAACGGAACTACACGATAATATCATAAAATGAATATCGTAACGATTTTGTTCCTCTGCCGCGCGAAGCTATCACGTCCGAGGCGAGACCGAATGCCCCACCACATGTAAAACGCATATTGTTCTTTCAGTTCCGATCGCGTTGCGTTTCTGATTGCCATTGTAGTTCTGATGCGACCTCGGATCCCTATCATAAGCATGGCATTTACTGGTGTTTTGTGTGATCTGTGGGTGGCCAAAGATTTGGACCGCGATGACAGAGGACGATTATGGTGTGTAATGTTGAATTTCTCGATTCACGCAAGATGCCGAGGACGGTCAATCTGCTTAGGTATGTTTTCACACGTGCCTTACGATTCTCCTGCTTTAGTCCCGCGATAAATTTGCGACGCGATAAGAGTAAATAAAAATCATTGAATATCTCGAAAAACTTTGTGTGGAGGTGGTGATCTTATCAATATATACGATTCTTTCGTTAAGTAGTGGCTTAATATGTTCCATATTCCCGGGATGTCTTGTTTGAAATTATGGTAAGTGTCAAATTCTATTAATCTCTTTCGTCGATTATATTGTATTTGGACGATTGCAATTTCCTTTTTACGACCGACCCGAGAAAAGAAACCACCACCACAATCACCAACCTTATTTAATGAATAATCTTATTGAGTATTTATAAGAATAATTGTTAAAGTATAATGTGAAGTAGCTAACATTAAAAAAAAAAAAAATTAACATGTAAAAACATTTAAAATCATACTACCAACAAACGTGTAAAAAATCAATCGAAAGCTTATGCACGATTGTTCACTCACGTTCATATATATTAAACCAATTTAATTGTTATTCTCTTAGGAATCGACATTAAACCGAACCCATAATTAACTGCGGTTCTCACTATTTTCAAAGTTTGATGAGGGAATTATGCTTGATGAGGGTAAATTATAATATAACATACACGAATATATTTTCTAACGATGTAAATCTTTTTCTACGCGATTACGCAGCCAGTATGTATTCCGTTTGCCCAAAGGTACTGGCACAACATATTGCCAAGAGGTGTACTTCATTCGGCACGGTCTTGGACTCGTTTTGTGGTGCCGGGAGGAATGTAATACAACTGGCGTTGACTTGTGACCACGGTAAGCTTGTTCATACTACGATCGAACAGTATTATAATTCAACACAATAATACGATTTGCTCGTGTTTTTTAGTTATCGCCATCGATTTGGATCCAAAGAAAATAGCTTTGGCCAAGAAAAACATAGAGGTTTACGGAGTGACCCACCGGATAAATTTCAGGGTGGGAAATTCTTTCTTGGTGGCCACTAACCTCAGAATGGACTCTATTGTCACCTCACCACCATAGGGCGGTCCCGGGTACGAAAGGCGAGTAAAGTTTGACACCAGAGACCTTTGTGGACGTAAAACTGGTGGCATGGCTGCTATTATTCGAACGGTACATTCAGTTGCACCCAGGGTGGTTCTGCACGTACCGAAGAATATATGTAGATAAAGACCAAGTATGCGTTACGCGATATCGTAACATAATAATAATTATAATAATATAACAACGTGTGACGTGTACAATATTTAATATCAATCCCCCGTACAGCGAAAATGTCATATTTTGGTTAAAAACAGATACTAGTTATATGGGATTTTCAAATACCTACTGCAAGTGATAAGTGATAATATAAAAATGTGTTGCTTTACATTAAAATTAATTAATATAATTTAATAATACATTTTATTTTCGTTTCACTTTACCGTGCACCGCAGTGTCTGCAGATGGCAATGGATGAGGGGTTCAGTCGAATACACTACGAAAGTGTACCGATTGACAAAAAAACCCAACTGTCTGAACCTCTATCTTACTAGAGTACTTATTACAATACTATTACCATATCTGCTATAAATATTTTATCAACCACGGACGACGTTGAAATACTATGTCTCCACGTTATTAAAAGTACCTAAGACATATTCAAAGCGCGTTCATTTCGACTTTTATTTCAGATCGCCATAGTAAATTTCCAAGCTTTTTTTCATACTAACTCGTTTCAATTTTTTTTAAAGTAATAGCGACTATTTTACGTTGACTATGTATTATCGTTTTTAGAACGACACTCACGCACGAGGAATACCAGTTCAAACTTCAAAATTGGTGCAACTAGATAATCCAGGTGACTAAAGAACTTTTAAGTATGCGTTTGGACACCGTCGTGTCCACATGTTTATTACACGCGAACCGTCTTAATAGCTCTCGATAGCAGTATTGTAGCGATTACACCGTACCGTTGGTAATGTATGTATGTATATATGTATTATTATTATTATCTAATCCAGTGTTTCCCAACTGGTGTTCCGTGAGCTTGCGCGAAGGGTTCCGTGAGAAATTTAAGAAAATATAAATTAATTAGCAATATTTTGATTTTGACTATGATTTGAACATAGAACTCAACATAGAACTGGAATTGACACATTTCCCGATATGAGGTGCATAGTTCGTTGCTTTTCGGCGTATACAAAGACAAAGAATAAGTTTCGAAATCAACTGAACGCGCCTTCGGACTTACGAATCTCACTTTCAGGAATAACTCCAGATTTAAAAACAGTTATGAAAAAAAAACCATGAAAATATTCCAATCTTCTCATTGAATTTATCTTAGAGGTAATGAGAGACAAATATTAAATTTTAAGCTTAAATATTATATTTATAATATTGTAATAGTAATAAACAAAATAAAATGTTAAAGCCGTCAAAAAAACGTTAGCCGTTTTTTTTTTATATGAATGACACTCTTGTGCCGGAAGTGTCCGATAACCCACTAATTTAAATGTACCAAACATTTGCCTGTATTAAAATTATAGAAAAAATATTAGGGTTCCACAAAACGTTCAAGCTCCTGCAAAGGTTCCGCGGGTAAAAGAAGTTGGGAAACACTGATCTAATCATATGACACTAAGTACAATAATACACACCCGAATAGATATAAACCGCCGCACACGGATGATAGCCCATTTAATATTTATACGTAAAATATTACGTACTTAATGTACATAATTCATTTTAATAATGAACTCTAAAGTCAATACTTCTAATTCAAATAATACACAACAGTTAAACACTCCGAAAAAATATATAACTCTTTCACTCATAATAAAAAAAATATAGACTTCTCTCAGAACAAGATGAATCAAATTCATCATCCCCAAACTCCGACAATTAATTCAGATCACTACGAAAAATATTTAAAAACACGACTCGATAAACAAAAAAAAATTATTCTCAACACCAAATCGCTATTGGCCATTAGAAAATATGGATACAAACCAAATAGAAACACCCACAAACACAAATACTACACCACCCGAATACCAAAACGAAAATTTAAATAATCACGTTCCACAACAGCAAACCACTGATAATACTCCAAAAATACCTCCACTATTCGTAATAAATATATCGCAATTTACACAGTTCCGCCAAGAGATAACAGAAAAAATACAAAAATTATTTTATTATCACAGCAAAATTAAATAAAATTAAAATGAATGTCGAAACAATCCATGACTTTCATATACTCACCAAATTTCAAGACAAAAAAAAAAAAATGAATATTACACCTACAGGCTAAAAAATGAAAAAGATATCTCTGCAGTCATAAGAAACCTGCTCATGTTAATCACAAAATTAGAAGTTATGGAAGAACTAAAGAATTTAAAATACCCAGTACAGTCTGTAATAAGACTAACAAATAAAAATAAGGTACCCAAACCTTTAATGGCAATACAACTATCAAATCATCCCATATCACAAAACATCTTCAAACTTAACAAAATACTAAACTACATAATAATCACCAAATCACGGTGAAACTTCAAGGATCCTACCCAATGTACAAATTGTCAGCTATATGTAAACTATCTCCCACGGTCTTATATGTTATTTGATGGTTGATTGATCGTGTTCTTGAAAACATTGTTTTTAATATCTTAACCATATTATTATAGATTTGCTTTCTCGGAAGATTTTATATTTTGATTTTGTTCTGAAGATAATTTGGACGTTGGAATTATTTTAGTTATTAATGATGAAAAATTTAATTATATGAATAATAGACGGGTTGCAATGATGGTGGCAGGATGAGCGCTATCTATGTTCCGTGTCATACTGGTATGTGTGGTCGTCGGTGCATGATTGACAATTACGTTTGTTATTGTGCGAATGTGCGACACTCGTGCAATGCGTGATCTTGTCTGGTTACACCTATTAATAATGAATACAATTAATCTAAACGAAATTTAACTAGTTAACTGAAATGCCAACGGCATAAAACCTAAAAAATCTACTGTAATAAAATTCTTATCACGTTTTAAAATGAACAAGAAATCTAGAAAAGACTTAAATACTCGCGAGCGAAGCGAGCGTCTTTTTGAGTGATAAAATCTGATAAGTCTTGATCCTAATGAATACACAATATTCATTGTCATAAATCCTTAAATACGCGTATACCCTCTAGTTTTTTTGCCAAAACACCACTGGATATACTTTATATCGCTCTAATCTCCAATCAACTTACACCACTAAGTCCTAAACGAACTGGATTCAAATCATGTTCCTGTTATCTCCACAATGAATCATCAAATAAAAATCAATCATCCGATTCCAAAACTAATTAACGCCCCTATAATATGGGAAGCCTTCAGAGAAAATTTAGATAAAAACCTTAATAACCAAAAACAATATCAAAACATAGATGATATCAACGAGAGCATTGAGCATATAACAGAAACCATAAAAATAGCAGTGACCCAAGCACAGGAAAATAATTCAATCCATTGACCCCTCCCAATCACTGTACAAAATCTAATCAAATAAAAACACAAAGTAAGAAAAATTTGGCAGAGAACAAGAAATTTAGGATACAAAAGAAGACTAAACCAGTTAACTATAAGGGTAAAGTGGGAATTAGATAATATAAGATACAACTCTTACAGTACTTACCTGGAAAAATCAATCAATTCAAATGACTCATGTCTTTGGTTAGCTACAAAAAGAATACTTAAGCAGCGTAATATAATATCCCCATTAAAAAACGGAATATCTAAATATGACACAAAAGCAAAAAATTCCGAAACCTTTGCCCATTACTTCGAATCATGCTTCATCACGGAAGATGAAACTCATCATCAAAACGAACACTCAGAAGAAATGTCGAACAAAACTAATCACGAGGATAACACTATTATCACGCCAACATCCCCCGAGGAAATACAATTAATCATATCAAAATTAGCAAACAATAAAAGTTCCGACCATGACTTAATAACAAATAAAATTTTAAAAAACCTTACATCAAAAGCATTAACATACCTAGCCTCTCTATTTAACTCAACTATGCGTATACCTATACTATATTTCCCCTTACATGGAAACATAACTATAATAGTAACAAAGAAAAAAAAAATATTGTAAAACCAAAATGATAGTACCTAATAGAGCCTGAGAGAAAAAACCAACAAAACGCTGACATCTTCTTCACACAATTTTTTAAATTGGATTAATTTAAACTAATAGTATGATCACTAAAATATTATAGTAAAAATCTTATTTAAAATATTGAAGAACAAAAAAGCTCATAAGAAAGAAATTCGTAAAATTTCAATCTGGGACGGTGCTGGCGAAACGCGCAAATTCTTTGATACGTTATTGTACGGGAACAACGATCGAGCGAATTTCGGCGATAGTCATGCAAATTCATGATAATTGCGTGCTAAATAATGGCTATGAAAAAATATAAAAATTCCATTTTTGCGATTAGGTAGTGCTGGCGAAATGTTTTTCCAGCACCACCCGTTAATATTTGCGATTCCGTAGAAATGGATGACATGCCAATTGCGAAATTAGTCATGCAAATTCATGCTAATAATGTGCTAATTATTGATAGTATAAAAAATCAAATTTTTCTAATGGGCGGTGCTGGCATAACGCACGTGACATTACTAAACACATTTTCTGGGGATCGAGATTACCACTAAATGTAGTGATTTGTTCAAATCTGCACAAAATGAAAGCACAATTAATTTCAACTATAAAACCTACTTAATGGTATATACGTATTATATACGTCCAATAAGGTTATAATTCCTCAGGTTAATTATGTGATTGAAAATGGCACATCAGCAAATTAAGAAAGAGCAGACGAAATGAAAGGTCAATATTTTGCTTTACAAATAATTAAAATATTTTTTTTTACAATTGAAATACAACGATCCATGATTTTATTGTAAACACTTATAACCTGAGACATATTTTAATCTGCCTGGTACTTTATTTACCTATATTATACAAATTTTTACCGATAAAATTTCAAATATCACACCATGTATCTATAAGTACTGCCTCAATAAAAACGATGAACTTGTAGTTGTAGGCATAATCGATTATGGTCCTTCACTGTTAAACAATGTAGCACGATATAAAGATTAGATAAAAAAAAGAAAATTCTAATTCTTTTTTTTACTAATTTATAATATTTGCAAAAATTGTAATACTACTTTATGGTAAAAATGGAAATATTGAATAAACACAAATAGAATAAAACAAGTAACATATAGGACATGAATGAAAATTAAACATGGTTTCTTCTACAATCGAGGCTCGTCTCCAAAAAAATAATATGAAAATAAATGATAAACATCAATGTTGTTTACTTACCTTGATTTATTTGAAGTTCTAAAATCTGTATACCTACATATTTAATAGTTTACATTTATCCTAACTTAAACTTTAATTTCAAAACAAATTTAAACATTTTAAGATTAACTTTTTGGCATGCGTATATGCGAGAAAAAATAGTAGGTACTCTATAAAAAATAAGTATTTTGTCATTTGTAACATAGATCATTATGAATCCCTATCATCCTAATTGGGGCTAGTGACATGGAAATCTCGAAATCGTTTGTTTCATCGCGAAATATTTGTTTCTGGTTTAATTTTTTTTTTTTAAATAAATTTAGTTATATGTTAAGTTTACTCATTACATATTATATAGAAGAAGAAAAAATAAAATACTAAATAGAAAATAAAATAATATATTATAGAATGCCAAGAAAACTGAAATAAATATTTGTTGGTACAAATGTCGCGACCAGTGATTATCATTGTTATTTACCGAAGTTACTTACGGTTTTTTGTTATCAAATGTTATCATCACATCTGATATGCATTTTGATAATTACATTATATTTGGATTTTGGTTGTATCTCAAATTTTAATCAGTGTTATGAATGAGTATTATGAATTTACGAACCTATTTTATCGATCACAATTCGCTTTGAATTGCTTTTATTAATTCGTTATTGCAGAGGCGTTATTTCCAATAGATTTCTCGTTGGGACAGCTGGTTTGTATAAATTACTATATGATTTAAACTTCAGATTACAAACATTGCTATTTAAGAAAATTTATCATCTCATTTTCCATATGTCACCCTACTGTTTGATTTGAATTACTGAATACGAAAATATTCCAAGTACTTTTATTTTAAAATATCCAAATAATCATTGGTTAAATATTTTCATAAGCTATAAAAATCTAGTTTTAATGTAATTAGGTGTTTTTTTAATTGACATTGTATATATATATATATATATATATAAGAGAACTGTAATAATATTTATTTATAGGTTTACATTTGACATCATAATGATATCCTTTAAAAAAGGTAGCTTTCGCATTGGAGAAGCCGAATTGAAATGTAAAAAAGCAAATGGTTGTGATTATTATGGTAATCCACAATGGGATGGCTTTTGCTCAAAATGTTATAAAGATATACAAAAACAAAGAAGAATGAATGCTTCTCCTAAGTAAGTTATAGTTTTTGAAAATATAATATTATATTATATAGTATTATATTTAAATTGTATTATATTTTAATGAAGTTCATTAATATTCCGTATTTTTATTTAGTCTACATATAAATATACTAGTTTTATGAATAAAATTGTTTTAAAACTACAAAATTATAAACAAAAAAGTTCTGCTTTTAATATGATGATATAGTTATATACTTTTATTAATAATTACTAATTATACTTAACAAAGAAATGTACAACATTTACAATATACATGGCATTAGATTAGTGTTATTTACTAAAATAGAAGTTGTAGATTATATAATTACAATGAAAAACTAATGTATAAAACTGTTTGAATTTTTAATAGTTCAATTTTATAACTTTTATAGAAAAGTACAAATAAACAAGAGTAATGCAAAACCAGATTTTAAAAAGAATGGTTTAACTGAAAAAAAATCAAAACTATCATACTTGAAAATGTTCAACACTATTAAATCTAAAGGTTTGTATATAATAATAATTTAGTGTGTATTTTTCACTGCATTCTACATTTTTAAATTATCAATGTACTTAAATATCTTATATAATATGTTATTTCTTATACTTTTTTTTTAAAATATTTTTAATCATTATAAGTACTGTATTTAACTTTTTGAAAATGTATGTTTTATAAATAAACTTGTTATACATATACACATAAACAATATATTTAAATATAATAAATTATAATATCTTATTTTATTTTCAGATGATATTTCTGAAAAAAGTAAGAAAGACTATGATCCTCTTATTGCAAAGAAACTTGAGCAAGTTGATGTAGAATATCTGTCTCTTTTGTCTGAACCAAAATCATTACGTTCTGATTTAAAAAAACAAATCCGTAATTTTTGTCAAATGATGATGATGTCACATTTACATAGCCCTGTGGATTTGCAGTCAGAACTTACTCAACATTTTTATCAAAATATCCTAGATATGCTGAATAATAATTATTCTTATGATGGTAATTTTATAAATGCAAGACAATATTTTGTTGCTTTTTTTTTTGGCCATTTAACTGAATTGTAGCCAAATATAGTTTATAGTATAATACTAATCAAATTAATTTTTTTCATTATCTTTTGATAATTCTTATTTAAAAATTATAATCACAGATTTCAATTTGTAACAATTTTATTCATATACTTAATATTATATGCAAACTAAAATGACTCTAAAATTGTAATCCACTACTGTTATTTACCATTTTATTTCTATATGCTATATATATAGAGTTCTCTAAACATTTTAAAATTGTTCATACAATTTTTTTTTTACTTTTTATCAATTTTTTATTTGAACTATTTGCATCGCCTAATAGTTTACTTATTTTTCAAAAAGTATAATTTTATTCTTAAATTATTCTACTTTCAGAATTAGACCATGAAAAAAAAGAACAGATTTTGGATTATGCCGAGAAATATTCTATGATTAAGCTGTATAAATATTTATTTTGTATGACTCTGGCGGATGAAGAAGAAGATTTATGTATTCAAAAACGGTAAGTTATCGTCAAGTCAAATTATATTTCATAAAACAAGAATATATTTAGTATAAAAATGAATTTATTATATTATAGACGAAAATTAATTAATTTAATTGTTCTTGATTATCTCTTTGTTTCTAAACTTATAGTCATTTCAATGTAAAATGTTCCGGTATAATTACCATAAATTTCATTGGTTTTATAAAATTCAAACCTTAATGGTTTTATTTTAACTATAAACAAAATATCTATATATATTTTTTTTTTTAAGTATATCCAATTAATGTTTAAGCCATACAATTCTAGGATTCGTCAATTAAACTGGGTGAATGCCAAACACCTTGATTGTGATATTGACAAAACAAATGCTCAGATTATTGAATTGGTATATAAAGCAATTTTAGAATTACTAGATATGGACTCTGCAATAGCACCACAAGATAAATTAGCTTGTGTTGTTCGATGCTGTCGGCATATATTTGGAGTTTTACAAGGTGGAAACAATGGTGTGAAAGGTCCTGCATCAGCTGATGATTTCCTACCAGTTCTCATATTTGTTGTTCTTAAAGCAAACCCCGTTAGACTAAAGTCAAATTTGCATTATGTTACAAGATTTTGTAATGCATCAAGGCTGATGTCTGGAGAAGCTGGCTACTATTTTACTAATCTGGTAATGTAATTTATTTTGATTCTTGGATAATATAATAAGCATTAACTTCCATAGGTTTCATTTATTATATTATTATTATTTTAATCATTATGCAGTAAATTTTTTTTAAAACATTCATAGATATTTCTTCAAAAAACCCTACACATGCCTAATTTTTGATAAGTTAGATATGAGTAAAATATAAAATTTCACTGCAAAACAACATTATATCTTCAGTTATCATTAATTTATATTTAAATTTTTTGTAGTGTTGTGCTGTATCATTTATTGAAAAGATAAATGCCGAACTACTGAGTATGAATACTGAAGAATTCGAACAGTATATGAATGGAACATTGGTATCTGATACTTGGGATTCTGCTTTAATAATCTGTGAGGTGAGTAAAAACACTTTATATTTTAAATTTATAACTATTTATCTGTTTAAAACTATTAAATGAAATATTAAATTTAGGGAATGCATCAAATGTTTGAACAGTTGGCCTTATTGGCAGATTTAAAAAGAAGAAATTTATTGATTGTGGAAGATGCAATAAAGTTAAAAAAAGAAATGTCTAATTTTAAGGTATTTATTTATAAATTCATTTTAATACTTTTTATTCATAATTTATCTTTTCGTTCTATTTTTCCCAAAGAAATTTGTTTATTTTGCTTATTTTAACAGATCATTGAGCAAATAATAGATAGAAAACATTTGAGTACATTATTATTATTAAATAATGTATTATAATTATTATTTTTCACTTAAATAATATTTTTTTAAGAAAATTACAATGATATATAACATAATATGATGTTTGTTTAATAGTCCATATTTTACTGTGTTATTGTTAAATTAACATACATTTTGTTTATTAATTTTCATAGGATGAATTTATGGAACAATTTTCAGTACTAAAAGAAGTGTACACTATTAATGATGATTCTAATCAAACAGATACAAAAATGTCAGTTAGTATTGATGATTTTGATCCTATGTGTTCAAATTTACCACCATGGACAATGACACCTCAAGTAAATATTATTTGTTGTTTTATATTTATTGATTATTACTAGAGCCCAGATTTATATGCATTTGCATATTTGTACTAAGTGTATGATCATCATACTAAGTGTATCATCATCCATATATCTATGGAGGTTTTAAATGTCCACGATTCAAATCACACCAAATTTCATATTGCATATTTTGCATATTTCGAGTATTATTGCATATTTGTTCATAAATGCATATAATATGTATATTTAATCCACTTTTAATAAATTAACTATTTTAATTTACAGTAAATTTTTTAATCTCCTCGAATAGAGTATGAATTGACATGATAGGTATTAAGTTTCAAAAATATTTTAAAAGATTTGTATTTTTTTTTTAAGTTTTCTATTAGTTTTTTGGTAGTAGGTAACTTCAAATTATCTAAAATATTTTTTTTTTTTTTTATTCTCGTTTTTTAGTTTTTTATAAGTCTTAGATTGATTTAAATGATTTAAAATATTAATCAGTGAATATTATCATTTTTTTTTTTTTAATAAAATAATTAGAATTTTATTTGGTATAAAAACATGGTTTTCAAAAAAAAAAATCACATTTTATAAATAGTAAAATAATGCATATAATTGCATATTTAGCCACCTTTTCTTTGCATATTTGCATCATATTTGACACTTTTTAAATGCATATAAATCCAGGCTCTAATTATTACTACCATTATATTGAAATATATTATTACAATATAATATATTATTTATATATAATATATTTATTATATGTAATATAATAAAAAATTATATTTATAGATTATACAACCTGCAGAAAGAACTCATACTAGTTCTACTTGCACAGATGTTGATTCTTGGGACATTCATTCTGCAGAAACAGTATCATTGCATTCATTAGATGCATGTTTAGGTATGTCACAAGAAAAGCATGTTGTGGCTGGAAGTAGTTTTGAACATACTATAAAGGAACAATCCCATTTAAATGAAATACAGGTATAGTTCAAAATTATAAATTAAAATTAATTCTTAGCAATATTATCACAAGAATATAAATATTCTTTATGAGTCAATGTTATTATATTAATAACTTTGATAACCGTACAAAATCAAATTTAAAAAAAATATTAAAAATATTTTAATATAAATCTAGTTATGGTCTATGGTTATGGTTATGGTCTATTTAACTTTGGAGGATGCTATACTTACATGTGTTGTTTCTGTCTTATAAATTATTATGAAATAAAGAAAAGACTATTATTTGTGTTTGTGTTTTGTTGGTGTAATTCTTTTACGATATTCAAATTTTTAAGTTATGAGTAATATGTGTAATATTACAATTAAAAATACTTAAAAATTAAAATTACCAAATAAACACAAATAATGCTCTTCTCTTTTTGTTTGATAGTTGGACAGTTTACTTTAATATTAAACCTAACAATATAACATTTAAATTAGTGAAGAAAAATTTGCTATATTATCATTATTATTATTATTATTTCAAAATATTATGTCACAAATTATGATTAATATAGTTTAAGCTTAAGTCTTATACAAAACTGAATAATTATTCTGAACTTATTTAAAATAAAATTTTTCATTTTGTTTAAAATGTTTATTGAATGTTAATTTTTAATTTAATGTAGAACTAATATTTTATTTAAAACTAGCTGACCCGACAAACTTTGTTTTGTCATATAAATTATTACTAGACAATATTTTGCTAGAAAAAAATAACTAATTAAATACAAGTGTGTATGGATGTATTATATAAGTAGTATGGTAATCCTGTGAACGGTGACGAAATATAAAAATGAAAAAACATTTATTAAACATCAAACATTTATTTTTTTAATAATTTATTAAAATTGATCTTTTAAAATTATATATATATATATCACTAATTATGATAACATTAGTAAAAAACAATATCAATCCCTTAATGCAACAAAGTGTACAATATTTTTTGTTATGCCATCTTTTGCCAACACAAACAAACTGGATGGTTTGAGAGCACGCCACGTATAATTGTCCGTGTGAAAAACATGATGTGCTCAAATCTAAGTCACAGACAGACATCGTTTGGCTTTGAGACTTTTAGTCATTGCAAATGTCAATCTAATTGAAAATTGAAGGCGTTTAAATTGTATTGGCACATCTGTGAGTATAATAGGGATTCGCGGTAATAATATATTTTCACCTCAGAATTTGCCATTAAAATGATGGCTTCGATAAAATTTTTTATTCATTTTTTAATGACTAATCGCGTACCGTTGCACAAACGTGGTAGGTTCAAATTACGAAGCAAAATAACCGGAGATCCAACCTTCAGTTGTAAATTATGCGGTGGCATGCCTGGTAAATCCAATGAGTTTAAAAATTCTGTTGGATAATTTACAGCTTCAGTAGCATTGCCAACTGTATCAATAGATTTGTATGACACCAAGTCTCCTGGTAACAAATTTTATATCTTTGTTGATTTGAGAACCTTCCGTACGCAGCTTTTTTTGATTGAATCGCAAGTATCGTAGTTGTTCGCTCTCTATCTTTACATACATGTCGACCATAAACTGTTGACTAAGCTCACGACCTCGTAGAATAACGTTGTCCTGATTGCATCTAATCATCAACCGATATGCATAATAATCCTTGGAACTAACATTCTTGTTTATTTTAGTACTTGTTGCTGGATCTTGTTGTTTAATATTTATGCAATACCCGTCATTTAATACCAAAAATAAAATTAATAGTTTTTAATAGTTTTTTAATAGTATCATTTAATAATTTATTTTCAATTGCGCAGTTATCGACCTGGTCAAAAATTATTAAATTAAACTACGATTTATTAAACAATAGCACTTAGGAGTATAAAAAATAGATAAAAGCCTATTCACAAACTTACCAAATGTATATACAACATTTCATTAAAATCGGTTAAGCCGTTTTAGAGGAGTATGGTAACAAACACTGTAACTCATTCTCCATGTTGATCCATTTTTTTGGTGATGGCCGATGGCCCCATTTTAACGATTAATTATTTCATATGGAAAATTTTATAAGCTAAAGCTTGCTGTAGCTTTTTCAATTCGATAAAACATTCCGAAACTTAAAAAATTAATCATTAAAAAAAATTTTAAAAAAAGAGTTTTCCAAAATATTTTTTTCGTAAAAATCTCCTGGCAATTACGAACAATTAAAAAAAAAAATTGAGCCAAATCGGCCCAGCCGTTTTAAATTTATGAATTTTTACTTAATAGTTTAGAGAGTAATATTTTTTGGTAAAGGTTTACATTTGACAAATGAGAATATTGTCATTTCACAGTCTATCTAAATCTCCTCCTCTTATCTTCTGTAACAATACATTGTAAAAATATTGCTGTTGAAAAATTATGTACGAAAAATTATATAAATTTATCATATAAAATTACATATTTTTCCCAATTTGAGTAACTATTATAAAAAAAAAATTGAAATGAATACAAGAAATTGAAAAAATTATAAAAGTATTAGTACTCAAACTGGTTTAATAATATCTAGTTCTATATTTTATCAATTTTTCTAGGAAATATCTATACAAGGATGGCAAATACCTAGTATACCATGTGAAACTGGAGGAAAAATAATTACCAGTTCTAAAAGTGACATCCAATAAGTATAATTATTAAATTGTAGTATTACATTTTTTTATTTGTAAACATTTTATCTCTTTATTAAGTATATCATACATGTTGTGGTTTAATTGCCTTAGTTTATTTTATATTAAAATAATATTTATTGTTATGTATATGTTCGCTTTTAATATTTTAAATTTATATTCTTTAATGTAAAATTATAACTATTAAATATAATTATTCAATGGTATTGTATACTCCGACTGAATTCTCTTCTCAATAGATGTTTTAAAACGTTTTGTAATTCCAATTTGGTGAGTATATGGACAAGGAACTAATTTCATCTAAAATGAAAATTATATTATGTATACTGAAAAAAAAAATGTTAAAAATATTGTAAAATTATACATTATTAAAATGATGAACTAATATAATAAAAATATTATATCAGTTCAAAAATCTAGCCAATAATATAAATTATTTAAGCTATTGAAGTGGGGTTTAATTAAGTATTTACCATAAAGATAATATCTTATGTATAATATCTCATATTATGTTTAATTTTACACATTAGTTCTCTTCAATATGAGAATGAAAAATATTCTTTCTATTACCTGCAAATCAATTGTTTCAGTAAACTTTTTTGTAGAAGATTCCGAGCTAAAATTTACTTCAGTGGTATATTTAATAGGAACTACTCTTGGTTCCATCCAAAATGTTGATTGATACCTAAAAATAATAATAGCCGGTTAAACATGATTCAATCAAATTGCTATAACTCAATACTTTCTTTGTCTCAATTATACTAGGTTATTTATATGCATTTTAATAATATACATTTTTAAAAACTTGAGTTTTCTTAATCACTCAGATTAAAATTATTAACAATTGATTGAATAAGTCAACATAATATTTCATGAATTAAATATCAGTGTTACTAATAGTATAGCTTACAATGAAGTATGCTGGGTGTATGCTTTTTTACATTCAATGTCTTCTAAATTCATGCTTTTTTCAATATTCTTTTGGTTATTCCTTAAAACAACCCATTAAAATTAATTATTAAAAGAAATTAAAATATTAGATGCTAAAACATTTTTTGTACATTTCTTTTGTCATTATTTTTGCTTGGTTTAAAGGTTTACGATTTTGAATATGACTACTGTTTTTTATATGTTGATTTTTGATAACAGGTGTGGGCTGTAATTTAATCTTATCTAATGAACAAATAACAAGATTTAATTTCAATAAACAACGTTTGTACTTATTGCATATTTACTTAATTTGTTATCTAAATTCGGTAAAAATCTCATGACGCAACCGCAGTCTCGTATTAAAAATCCTTCGGGTGAAATTCTTTGTTCTGGTATATTTTTGACAAATTTAAATGTTTGTTTGAAAATTGTTTTACAGTGTGCACTATTATTTTCATTTGGTGTATTTACTTCTGAATTGGGCATAATGTACAATCATCTGTGAAAATATATTTGTCTTTAAATAGATTCATGCATATGTAATGTCCTTATTCACTATAACATCCATACAGTTTTTTTTTAATCATAACTAGGGCACGGATATTCATGCAAATGTATATTTTACGATTCACCTAGAATAATTTTGATTACAAATGTCGCACTGAATAGATTCATATGGATACGTTTATTTTTCCATATTTTTCATATTTAATTAAAAATTGCATAATTATATTTAATTTTATAAAGAATGCATATTTTATAAATAATAAATAGAAAATATCTTAATTGTGTCTATTTAAAAAAAAAGAGGAATAGACATAGAATTTGCTAAACATAAACTGTTACAAGCGTTTCTAAAAATCCTGTATATTCTTAAGTTAAAAAAATTTGTGAAATATTAAGCGACGACGAAAATGAAAGCATTGTAAAGTTGTTACCTGAAGACATATAATTTTTTAAATATTTGCTAATAATATCCTGTGATGTAGAAAGAAGTTTTTCTAAGTATAAATCTATGCTGCGAGACAACTGCAAAAACTTCTATTTTAAAAATCTGAAATCATATTTTATAACTTCCTTTTGATATTCTTTCCAAAATTAATATTTTTTGTTTATTTATTTATTTATTTAAATTTTATACGGGCCAAGCCCAATTATATAAATATTAATAATAATAATAATCGTTCGTTAATAGTCTTAAACAAAAAGCGAATAAAAAAGAGAAAAAAACAAAAAATAACAATGATATACAATATAAATTATAATATAATATACTTATAACTATGAATTAACAAGTAATAAATTACAATATAACTTGAATCAGTTAAAGTTTGATGATATGAACACATCGATATTTAATTTGTTAATAGTTTTCATAATTCTAAGATGGTGAGTATTGCTTGCGTAATTAGTGACTTCTTTGTTAAAATAAAAAGTGTTTTTTTACCGGGAGTTACAAGGCGGAGCATAGAAGGAGAAACGACTTAGAAACTCAGGACACTCAATAAGTCCTATAAATAGTTTATAAGAAAAGTATAAATCGCATACGACGTTGTTCAAGTGTTTTGATGTTGAGAAACGTTAATAATGGAGAGTATGAAGAATGGGGTTCTTTAAATATGGAATATTTAAATGAGAGGAAACGTAAAAACTTGTGTTGAATTTCTTCAATTTTATGTTTATGACCCGATTGGTGTTGCTGGGTTACCCGATTGGTATCTTGTTAATTTTAAATTTATATAATTTATTCATAATTACTTGTTCCATAACTTGTAAATAATAGTAAATTATAATAGCTTGTACGATGTAATATATTTTTACTGATTTTTTTAGCACATAATAAAGAATTTTTTTTGCATACCTATTATTCTTTACATTTTTCTAAATTTTTACCTACATAAATATGTGCATATTCAACAATATTTTTTTGTATAAAAATCTGGGCTTTATTCATAATTATTTCAAAAATGTAAATTTGAATTATATTAATTATATTATATACATCAATGTATACTCAATAATACATTTTATGCAATTTATATTTTACTTACATTGTTAAAAAAAGACAAAATAAGTAATTAGGTATAATATATGAACATCTATTGCCTATTGTATAATACCTAATAGTTTGTAAATTTATTTTAAAAATGTATGCATGTGCAATGTAAAATATTTACGCTATAACTAAATAAAAATTGATTTGATGTAGATATTAAAAATATAAATTTTCGTTTTATCTTATAGTTTTTCAGTTTAAAAAAACATTTGGAATCTTTTATTTTAATTTTTATTATTCAACCGACAATTTTTAATAATTATAAAATTGATTATACACTCTTTCATCATTTAAGAAATTGAAACATTTAATCGATTGCATTTAGTAAATGTTTCAAAAAATTAAAATATTTGTGGTTTTAAAATAAGGAATTGCAGGTAAATGTACAGGTATTGAAAACATTCCAAACTATACATATATTTCCGATATAAAAATAACATTAGTTTTTACTTAAATTTAATCATTAAAATAACAATTTTTTTCACTAATGGGTAAGTAATTAATTAACTGTCGTTTTAAATAAACTTCTAAATATTATATATGTCCTATGACAATGAAATATAAAGAAATTACGAATATCAAACACCTACAGCTCCACTGGATTTCAATAAGAAAATAATGTAAACAATAATAATTATTGTATTACAATAATAATTGTATTTTAAAATACAAATAAATAAAAACATAATTAACGCATAGCGATTTGATTTTTTTACATAATACAAGGTAAAATATTTTAGAATTCTTATTCTGTTATATCATACTGATTATTTAAAGTAAAAGTTCAACAAACGCATAATTTGTACTTACGATAAATTTAAGTTTTACATTTACACACTCTCATGCACTGTAGTCGCATTGAATTGTATTTGAAAATGTTCTGTTCATTTAAAATTAATCACCAGCGATACCGGTAATCTCCAACTGTTCTGTTGGTCAAACATTGATTGTCCACCTACTACCAAAACACAAACGACCGGGACCGGACTAATGCCTTCATATACAAAACACCGCTGGTAACTAATAATATACTGCGTCAATGTATAGTGTATAAAATATTGAAATAATAAAATACAAAATAGGCCTACAAGCGCCCTCAGGCGTGTATAATGTGCACCGCAAGTGTAGGCATATACGCACACATTGATTTAATTCACATATGCTTAATTAAAAATTCAGGACAAAAATTAGGTGTTCAGAAAACAGTGATCACTCATTTTATCGGTAAAATTGAATAATTATCATAATTTTTAATAATTATATTTTTTGACAATATTGTATTTCAGTCTATATTAAATTACTCAGTACAAATTCAAAACATTTTAAATGTATCGTTGATACGTAGTTAGTTACATAAAAAAATGTTAAAACGCATTTTTATTTAAGCATCAAACCTAATTAATAATTATATTATATACAAGTTGTATAATACTAATGGTTAATTCAATAAACAGTATTGTTATAATATTCCAACCAGTCGAATAATACAATAATAAAACAATTTAATGTAAAACAATTGTAATTCAATTTTTGAATTTCAAGATTTCACTATACAATATCTAGAAAATTACAGTATCTTTGTACATTGCTGAACTAACTATATCAGTAAAATTTTTAAACCTTGCATGGGTTAGAGAAATTCCATAACAAATCATGACGTATGTCGTATACATGATACGTATGTATTTACATAGTAATCCTGCGACGGTAATCAGATTTTCAGTAAATATATTGCATATGATATACCTAAATATAAATAAGATAAAACATTATAACTATGTAATTATTACGTTTAATTTAGTTGGTTAAAATATATCTAGGCCCTACTTTAAAAATAAAACAAAATAACCTTGAAGCTTTCGCCTCGTAAATTGAAAGTAAAAATTTTAAAATGCACACAACTGCAATGTTTATTTTGATACCTGTAACAACTGTAAAATCTATAATCATTTGAAAACGTATGACAGATGTGTACCAAAAATTACTATATTCATTGAACAAAGTTTCTTATTCGTTGTAGCTTAGTAGTTAATATTAGTAATTATAGGTAAATAATAAAATCTACAAACCTATATAAATATATTATAGGTTAACTCGTTAACACGAATATACCTTTTATTTAATGTTGCAAATATTATTGCAGCAATTGTGTATAATTTTATATATTTTGTATGACTTCCGGTTCCTATGTTTATTATGACCATTGTAAAACCTATAAAACATTCAGTAGAAAATAATAAATTCAGTACAACAAAATATTATGTATGGACTCGGGTTAATCATGGACGATGAACATGTACGTATTTTCTACTCGCACACGTAGACGAAGTAGACGTGCATACTATAGAAAAATCGTATTTTATAATAGTCACTGTAGAACATCACGGTCTGTTTTTGGTAATGAATGGAATCACTAGTGCATGAATATTTGATAAAAGGGGATAGGCAAAATCCTAAAAACCAGGATGTGACGCACACAGTCCAATAAATTTAAAACCTCAACGGCATACGTCGCAATTGAAGTAAATAAGTATTAGTGATGATCGTAAATAGTATTAGAATATATTTGTCAATAAAATAGTAATAGCTAATTGTATAACTTGATTTATAATTTATAGCCGATTAAAGTTTATGATAATTTGTACTTAAATTACACCTAGTTATTAATAGACCAATATACTGTGAATATATCTTACCTATAGTATTTAGAGACTAGAAGAGTGTTAGCTGAGAAAAGAGAGAAGTGGAGAGTGTAGGTCCAATTGCAAAACCAACCTTAAAGGTTGAATACCAGAAAAAAAAATAAATAGTCTTTAGGTACAATTTTATAGCACTCTCATAATTTAAGTGTCCTTGGCATTTCAAATAAATTAATGATTTGATAATGACCAAATTAAAATAATAATTATATTAATAATATAGAATTGTTGAAATTTGGAAAAAATATATATACACCTAACACTATATAAACTACATAACTTTACAGTAACGCTAAACTGAAATTTGTTGAAATTGTTTTTTCAATTGAAATAATTATTTTTATTTTTTCATAATAACGTTTCAAATTGAATAAGTATTAATAATATAGCATTAAGTGATGCCGATGAACGAAACAGAATTACGATAAGTAATTTGTTTAGAATTTATATATTATAATTTTATATTCTGCCCACTACGATTAATTTTAGAGTTTTAGACTTTTATAGTTTTCTATGTAAGTAAAACTAAAAAACTAAATAAAAAAAAAAAAAGGTATTAATATTTATGTTATTAATTAAATTAATAAAATCAGTTGGTTATCAGTAGCCGTCGTAGCAGGTTGTCCTCCGTGCTCTGTTTACCGTAACATATATACTTCGTAACCGTTTTAACATGCCTTCAAATAGGGGTCGCGGGTCTCCCCAAACCCGCATTCTACAACACGCCCCAAGAAAGAGAACAAACGCAGCTCCACTTACTCCACCCTTTCAAAGCAAAAACAAATTTACTCCGCTTCAAAACATCGACGACGAACTTGACCAAGACGGCGTTTCCACAAACGACAACGCACAGGACGCACAGGTTAGTCCCAAAATACCGCCAATTTACGTCTACGATATTTCAAATTTCGAAACATTTCATACTTCTTTATCTAATCAAACTTTTGACGAATTCTCAGTCACACATACAAAAAATTCATTAAAATTAAACCTAAGCTCAATCGAAGATTACAGATCGTTTACAAAAAGTTTCAACGAATCTGAAATTAAATATCATACCTACCAATTCCAAACTGAAAAACAATTATCAGTTGTCATCAGGAACCTCCCAATTCCGATAACGGAGGAAATGATTTTCAACGAGCTGAAAGAACTTAACTTCGAAGTAGACACCGTGACACGTCTCCAAAACCGTTATAAAAATCCTATTCCAATCGTCGCCGTTCTCCTCAAAAAATCATCACCCGACATTTACTCTTTAAATAGATTGTTACACTGTGTAGTTTCCGTAGAGCCAAGAAAACCATCAACTGGCATCCCTCAGTGTACAAACTGCCAAAGATTCTCGCACACTAAAAAATTTTGTCATTTACCGCCCAGGTGTGTTAAATGCGCGGGCGACCATCACTATACCCAATGTCAAAAAATTCTAAAAACTCCTGCTAAATGCGTCAATTGCAACGGTGACCATCCAGCTAGTTACAGAGGCTGTACATTTTATAAAGATATAACAAAAAACAAAAATAAAACAGTCGCTAATCCTCGCCATAACAATAATTATAGTAATTCAATGCCTAAACCGGCTAATCAGCATGTATATACTAACAAAGATAACACTAATGATCATATTACGTATGCCTCTGCATGCAAAAATAACTCCAACAGTAATTCAACTAACAACGCAGATAGCGACAACGGCTTCATGAAAACGCTCCTACCACTTATAAATACCTTCATCACTCAACTCATGCAGAAAATAATCGAAAATCTGCCCGTCATCATAAATAGCCTAAATCAAAACACTCATGGTTCCCCATAACGCAATTTTGCTAAATTGGAACGCCAACGGTATTAAATCCCAAAGGAACTCCTTAATGGCATTTCTTAACCATCATAATATTGACATAGCTTGCATAACCGAAACACATTTGTCACACACGGACAAAATTAAATTCCCCGGCTACACAATGTACCGCGCGGATCGTAACGCGCCGACACGCTCTATGGGCGGCGTAGCAATACTGTTACGCAACAAAATTAAACACCAACATTTCCCAATTCCTGTTCTTCAGAGCTTAGAAGCCACTGCAGTGCTAATTAATTTTAATAATCGATCTATTCTAATCGTCAGCGCTTATCAACCACCAAGCCGCACAATGCACATCGCCGATTACGACAAATTAATGAACCTACACAATAACATTATAATGGCCGGTGATTTAAACTCGAAACATACTAATTGGGGTTGCCGTGTCTCGAATCCAAACGGTATTAAACTACATAAATACATATCTACCTCTACATGTATAGTATCTGCACCAAGCTCACCAACTTATTTTCCTTCGGATATGAATAGACTTGCTGACATACTAGACATTCTTGTAACCAAATCAATTCAATTCAACGTCGTACAAGAATCCCTCTCTGAACTCGATTCAGATCACAATCCAGTAATAATACATTTAAATTCTCCATTGCAATTTTACCGCTCAAATGTCTCACTTTTCAAAGGTAAACCAAATTGGTGCACTTACTCAGACTATATAAATAATAAATTAATTATTCCAAAAAATATAACTACTGTCTTAGCAGCAGACAAAATTGCTGAACATTTCACCGAAGTCGTTACTGATGCTGCACGGGCGTGCTCGGTCACCTCACCCCAAAATCCAATTCAAAAAAATCACGGTTCACTACCACTGTTCATATTGACTTTAATCCAACAAAAACACATCGCCAGACGTGCTTGGCAAAACCAGAGAAACTCAGCAGCCAAAACAACGTTAAACAAGCTTACTAAACAAGTGCAAACCGCCCTTCAACAATTCCGCGTAAATTCATATAGCAAGTTCTTGTCAAATATTCATCAAAACGACTCAAGCCTATGGAAAGTCACAAAAAATCTTTTAAACCAAGAGACAAATTGCATTCCTCCTCTTCGCACTCCAACTCATCTCATAATTTCTGACGCGGATAAATGCAAATTTTTTTCGGAAAACCTTTCGAATACTTTCTCCCTGAATCAGTACGCACACAACCCTAATGATCTTAGGGTTTTAGATGTTCTGAGATCACCAAACTTCTCTGTACAAAATTCAATCAACTTTGCTACACCTGGTGAAATTAAAACAATAATCAAAAGGCTACCTAATAAAAAATCTCCTGGCCACGACAACATCACGAATCTTATGTACAAAAAACTTCCTAATAAGGCAATTATGTTCATGACTTCTCTATTTAACTCGCTCCTTCGCCTTGGTCACTTTCCGGATAACTGGAAAAAAGCAATCATAATACTCATAAAAAAACCTGGAAAAGACAAATCAGACCCCGACAGTTACAGACCAATTAGTCTGCTAACTTCGTTATCTAAGATTTTCGAAAAAGTCATCCTCTCAAGACTGCAAAATTATCTAAACTGTACAGACACAATTCCAAAATTCCAATTTGGTTTCAAAGCACATCATTCAACTACACAGCAACTCATGCGCATAACTGAACATATAAGCAACTCATATGAAAAACACTGTCAC